CCCCAAAACCCCAAAACCCCAAAACCCCAAAACCCCAAAACCCCTGAGGTTAGAGGGGTTATAGAATTATTTTAAAGGTGGAGAGATGAGTAAGTGGAGTGTAGGGTGGATTTTGGAGGTTTGGAGGGGTCTTAGGGGCGTTTAGAGGTGGTTTAAGGGGTTGGAGAGGGGGGTTAGGGGTAGTAGGGGGTTTGGAGGTGGTTTTGGGGTGAGAGGTGTAGGATTAAGGAAAATGGCAAAATTGTGATTGGGAAAGAAATTAGAGGTGTTTAGAGATGGTTATATTGGATCTTAAGCCTAGAGTGGGGGATTAATTTTTGTTGAAATTTTGAAGGATTTTGGTTTTATAGGTCATAATAATTTTGCAAACCTTACTTCGACCAGAGGAGCAATGGAGAGTCAAAAACTTTTCAAAAATAATGGGAGAATTACTAGCATGAAGCCAATGAAAGACTTTGGCAAAAGTAGTCAAAATCCCTTACCTCTAGAACTTGGGAGGCAATACGAGCAGAGAATAAATAACTTGTTCAAAGAAGAAAATCCCCAAAATAATAAAATTTACCAAATGGTTTCAGAAATGGAGAAGAGCGATAAATAAAGAGAAGAAAAGATCATATGTTCCTGTAATACCTAAATATGTCCTTACGACACGTGGTAACAAATAAGGATAAGTCTCGTTACTCGAGCAATACTCTTCATGGGAAAGTCAAAATAAATAAGAACAATATTCTTTCAAGCATCAGTCCAAACCGTAATAATATCCCTAAGCTCACCTAATATTGGAAGCAAGAGTCGGACTATGAAAGAGATCAAGAAGTTAGGTAGACCAATACCTCATTTTCTAGACATTCGGACTAAAGTCCAAGGCGATCATAGCCAAAGTCATAAATAAGCGTACCACTAAAAGTCCCCTATTAGAAAAAATCAACCAAAGTATTCTGAAGGCTTCGAAGTTGACCGAGAAAAGGCTGGAAAAATTTAGAGGTTTCCTTGACCAAAATAATATTGACATAATCAAAAATGATAAAATTAAAGATCTTGTTGTAACAAAGTATTCATCTAAGGCTAACCAGAATGACGATCAACAAGAAAGTGGTGCACAGAGTGTCAAGCAGAATAAATTCAAGTTGTTGCCAACAACTAGTATTACTACTCCAAGTTCTTCTTTCGGTATCGTAGTACTCTCATTTCTAGTCCCAGCATGATTGACTTGTTGTAAGGAAGAATGCTTGTGTGCTAAATTTCCAAAGTACCTTCACCGATAATTTTCTTTAGAACCAGCATATTCTACAGAAATATAAAGAGAGATACTAGAGCTGAGAGTATTGAAATTAACGGTATTAACTTCCCAATCCTGCGGGATCGGGAAGCTAATACCAATGCAAATGAGCTTCCGAGGAAGATAAAGACTAATTTAAAGCCCTCTCCTGGTGAGACAAAGAGCTACTTAGGCAGGATCAATAGTAAATACCCCTCTGATATTCTAGATAACCGAAGAATGCACCCTATCACAATCTCTGAAAAGAAGCATATAAAGTCAGTAAAGACATCTGATCTCAAAATTCCAAACAGCAAGAATCTCACAAGATCTCCTAAAAGTGTGAGCCCTGTAAAGAACCTGAAATCTCAGAGGATTCGGCAGATCATAAAGTCCAAACCTTCAAATGGGTTAAACAAGTTACGGAACCGGTACCAAAAGGAGTCTTGGGAGATCACCGGGTGGCAAGAATCCTTCATAAATCCTCTTGAATTAGACCCTCACGATCTAGAACTAAAGTAAGCCTCCTGAGTAACTCAAGCTGGAGATTAGGCCATTTATATGGGTTTAACCAGGTTTTTTATGGAAATTTAAGAGTTTTGTGTAGGCCAAAGAGGGATTTTAGGACTCAGATTGAGCAGAATGATGATGAGTTTGAGATGTTCAAGATGAATGAGATTTATTGTAATGAAATATAGGAGATGGAAGGTTATAGTTGGATTAGGCTTCAATAATTTTATTTTGAAGTGGGGTTTTGGGGTTTTGGGGTTTTGGGGTTTTGGGGTTTTGGGG